GGGGGGGGGGGTGAAAGATACGGTAGAGTTATTTTAGGACACTAATTATTATTATTAATTTCCTTAAAATGTACATAAATGGTAATTGGGTATATAAAATATAATTATAGTAAAACTTGAGTAGAGAGGGTAATATAATTTCATATAGTGTATAGGAATATAAAAATTCTTTTTGGTATTGAAGACTTCGATGCGTATATGGAGTATTTGTTCTTTTTTCGCTTTAGATGCTTTATTAAGGTCGAATGACAAAAATAGGATATTTCGATGTCATTATTCATTTTATTTTTCATAGTAAAAGAAGTTAGAAAAAAAAGCCTCATTAGATTTTAAAGTTTTTTGGGCAGGATTTTTCTCGATTGTTAGAATTTTAAAGCATGTTAGGTAGAATTTTAAAGCACGCAACAATTACGGTGATCGTCAGATTTTTGCGACAAATCTTGATGGATCACCAAAATTTTCATCAGGCTGAAAGTTCTGGTGATCATCATTTTCTAATGCTTCACTAGCATTAAACATTTTGGTGATCATCCGAATTTTTGGTGGTTCAAAATTCTTGCAACCGTGTTTTAAAATTCAGGCCCAGAGCATTTTTTCTCAAAACTTTTCTTAAGGGTGTCAAAAAATAAACAGTCCATCCAACATAATTACTTACTTTATTGATTCAATATTGCACATTTTTATATAAAGTAAATATTAAAACTAAGAAACAGGTAAAATTTCTTAATTTGGAGAATTTTTATTGAGAAAATGTCCAAGTATTGCATCATAGTAAACTATCTTATGTAGGCGAAATGGCTTCCTGGCCACTTAAACTTGTAGGGCTTTTGAAAGCCGATACACAAACTTTAATCTTTCCCATTTAAACACTCAAACTCGTGAAACCTATAACTAATAAATACATGTGACCATTGACTATGCTTATGTGGCGATAGCTTATCTTACGTGGACATAGTGCGTACAAGTCACATTCAAATGGCGCGTGTATCTGTTACTATTCATTAAAAAAGATTGTAAAATCAAAAAAATAAACAGAAACTATAAGGAAAACCAAAAAAGAAGAAGAAATCTCGTCCGCCGATTTCCATAATAGAAACACCCCCTGGATCTCGTCTTCTACACACCACCCATGTATCTTCGCATCATCCCCAATGACCAGAAACAAGGCTTCACCCATAACTCACAGCAACGACCAAACGAACTCAACCAGTCTCTCCTCCTCATCTACGCCTAACAGCGCCTCCCCCCCCCCCCCCCCCGGATTTTGAGCTTTTCTTGTTCTCAATCTAAAAGCTAGCTGCCTACCACCAGAAACGGCTGCAAGATAAACACACATACACGCAAGGGACAGAGAAACAGATCTGGGGGGGGGTGAGAATGAGAGAAAAGGAGATGGGGAAGTGAGCGAAAAAACAAATGGACAAAGATATTTTTGTGGTTGTTCGGTTTGAGTGTTGAGGACGTTCGAGATCGTCGGCGAGTTGTTTTTTTTCTGGTTCGTGGTACAATTTCCAGATTTCTGTTGATCATATATTATCCATACTTTTACTCGTTTTCTCTAATTCACTTGAACAGTTCTAAGTATCCGTTGTTGTTCCTTTGTGATCGATTTTTTCTGCCGTAGTAATGTGTAAATTATTTGTGGCCCTCTTTGTAGTTAATTTGGCTTGCTGGGTCATTTTGGTACCTTGAGTTAGGTAAAAGTTGCACAGCTATGGTGAAGAAGAAAATAAGGGAAATAGAAGAAAAATTAGAAATTAATAAATTTATTCCAGCACAACTATGGGGTTTGTTTTGGCGCCCTTGATGTGTAACAATCCCATTGGTCATTTGCTGACTGGATGGACACGTATGTGAATGTGTAATACACGCGCATAGGGTCAAGGGTCAAATGTGTTTATTAGTTAAGGGTTTCACGAGTTTGAATGTTCAAATGGAAAAGTCCAAAATTTGTGTATCGGCTTTCAAAAGCCTTACAAGTTTAAGTGATCAGGAAGCCATTACGCCTTTTATGTAACTAATGTGTATTACCTCCCTTTGGTCTTAAGAGCTAAAAAATAAATTTACTGAAGTGAAAGTTTTAAAAGTTAAGAAACTTTGATACAACAAATTGCATTATTCAAATTATATCTAAAAAATTTATATATCATTTTCCCCATTTCCTACATCAAGACGTGACTATTTAAATAAAATACTAGATTATAAGATCTTTGTAAAGTACATTTAAAAAGTGGTATCCAATCGCTATACCTAAAAGAAGGCTTGCCAGTACATAATTTTGACAAAAGCAGCAAATGGAAAATATCAATAATGGAATCTTGAGTTGGCAACTTTAATGGCCAGCAAATTGAGGAGAAAATGGCATTGTAATAGTTATTATCGACTGTTTTTTTCAAAGTCATTTTCGACTTTAGCTTTCTCAAAAGTTGAATATGAAATCATGATAACTTTTTGCAATTATCATTCTTATCTAATTAGTTTTTCACTTCTTACTAACAACGTGAAAAAAAAAATCAAATATTACTTCAGGAAAATTTGAAATGAGTTCAAAAAATAAATATAAACGTAGCATATTAGTTGAATTTTGAACACTTTTTGCTAAGACATTAAGCTTATAATAAAAAAAATGCACCAATTTAACGCTTCATCACGAATTAGAAACATACAACAGTGATAATTATATTTCGATCCCAAATAAATTGGATCGATATATGAATCATCAATAATCATGTTTCTGATTGAAAACATAATCATATTTCTCATTTAAATTTATTATTTTATTTCAAGCCAATATTATATTAAAAAATAATTAAAGTGACGCTTAAAGTTATCTTACCCTCTTTGGCAAATTCGAGTCTAATATTTCTGCATGTGTGGACTTGCTGATATTATCAATAAATCTGATAATATTATTTTGGAATACGTAAAAAAAATTACAACTACTCCATCTTTTGTTAATAGTAAGAAAACATTATTCAAAATCATTGTTCCACGTAATACTCATGTATACGAATTTGTATTTCTCATTGTCAATTTACAAACTTCAAATGAGAAAAGTCAAAACATAAATCACTAGTATAAACTATCAACTTTAGTCTAGACTCTAGAGAAAGTGATGTTGCAATTATTAAAAACTTTGGGGGTCTGATAGTAATATGATAATAGTTGGGGGCCCTGTGAGAATGAGAGAAGATCTCGTAGCTGGAGACTCAATTATGGAGAGTTGTGGTTGGTTACTATTTTAAGCAATATTCCACCATTAAATTAATCGAGTTTTACGAATAAAATAAAATTAGAACAATAATAATACCATTTTTGATAGTCGGCTCTAAAAAAAGAATAACACTTATGATAATTCTTTTAAAGTAATAATGTATTCATCAATTGCGTCAATCCTGAATTAGATAGCTCATTTAAAATTTTCTACATCAAAAGGAAAAAAATAAAATTTTCTAACAAAAAGAACGGCCATTTTATCAAATAGTAGGATCGCACTATTAGAAGTGTGATCGCTAGAAAAAAACTAGTGTAAAATGTCACACTTATAATTTGTTAAAAAAAAAAATCTAACTCATTCACAAGCCAAAATAATGAGAATAATGCTATATTTGTTAGGGCCATTCAAAATTTAATCGTAACTGATAACCGATCTGTAAAAGTAGCTTAATGATTTATTGGTATCGAATTATCGGTTGGTGAACGGATTGAAATTTTATAATTAATGGTTTATCAGTTTGGGAGAAAATTACTCAATTTCCTTATTGGATAAACCGTTAACCCGTTAAGAATTACTAGTATTAGTACTCCCGCGATGCGCGATATA